TGGACCGGTACACCTTCGTTCTACAGCGGGGAACATGAAGATGTGTAGTGTTGCGTAGCTGTAGACGAGTCGTTCTCCGTTCGCCTCTAGTGGAGGGGATGAGTGACTGCAGGTGCACTGGGACTAGACCATGCGTCATCTTGTACATTAACACCATGGAGTGGTAGTGTCTCCTGGTAGACAGGCTGTCCCATTCGAGCTCTCGTAGGAGGCTCGTACTGGGGGTCCCCTTCATGGCTCCTGTTGTAAGGCAGCCAGCATGGTATTGAACTTTGTCTAGAGTAGCGCTAGCCGTGCTGCCGAGGTCTCCTAGCAGTACTGATGCATACTCTATCTTTGATCTAATCATGGTGATGTAGGCTAGTTCAAGGGCCTCTCTACTCAGTTTTTGCATTTGTGCCATTTATATTACAAATTTGAAATTCCTATTGAGTATGGTTAGTCTAAAAAATTATTTCCAATAACAAGTCTTCAGCTACTGATACAGGTACACATTCTATTGTAAACCTCCTGTTCGGGCTTACAAATGTGATTTTCATTAGATGAGAACATTTCTCACCCTAGGATTATCATAAACTAAAAGATATATTGATCATCGACAGCAATTACCACTTTCCATAGCCAAACTGTGTGTGACGTTTCTGTATTGTGTAACCCATTTTGCCTTTGTCAACAAATGCAATCTGCACTACAGAAATGACTATGGTTAAGGCTAGTTATCTGTTATTAAGGTATGGTTAAAGCTGTGATTTATGTATGAGGCTTCATTAAGTGCAATGATGTAGGTCCGAGCCGCTTGTTTTGTCCGGACAAAGCCGGGCGGTTTGAATATCAGCCCGGTCACCTGATATGGTAATATGATATGGTAATACGTAGTAGATTGTAATCAATTGTGAGGAGAGCAATGTCACACTGGGTCACACTGGGCCAAACTGTACGTGTTACTTCATGGCACATCTGAGCCTCCATTTGTGTCCGCTGCTGGGATATGCTATCTTATATTATACATCTCTAGAGATATATTTGTGATAGACTGGGAGGGTGCCAGGGTCATAGATAGAGAGGACAATAGAAGAATCCGTTGGATTAAAGAAGCAGTCTGGATAAGGAAGTCAACCCCAGTGATGAACCGGGACGAGGGGGGATACAAGCTCAGCCACGTTTGGGATTGCATTCTCGCCGCAAAAGCGCCACCTACATTGGCGTTAAATAGCGGCGAGTTGCAGAACTCCAGTCAGAAGCTCTGAGGAAGGTGTCTGATAGACATTGAAACGTAAGCAGGTGAGAACCTTACTGGTTGTGTAAGAAGAAAATTCTATACCCTAAGATGAAAGATAAGCTGAAGCCTAAACCTCTGCTTGGAGAGTATTTTTATTTAGGCTTTTTGTTCTTGTAAGACATGAAACTATGAAGAGATTGCAAGCTGCATGTACCCTTGCTGTGTAGGATACTACCCGGCTGTGGTTTCTTTATGTACAGCAAGCTAACAGATGGCATACATGAAAAGGGGGTCATGAGATCAGATGAAAGAGATGCATCATCATCATTTCCATTGCCTAGGCTGTAGCAGGTGTCTACTGATTGTGTAGATAAGTCCCAAACTATAGTATAGCCCTGCAAAATCTTTACTGCGCATTTTATGGTCTTAGTAACTGTTACTAGTGTTAGTGTAGGAATCAGGTAAAATGATACACACTGGTAATTAATGGCTTCATTGATGCTGATTTTGGATAGAATGTCTACATACAATTATGTATGTACCCAGCAGTTTTGGTCCTCATATACTAATCCAAAAGATAGTGGCATTGCAAAAGCATTATTCAATAGGGTAATTCTACTTTGTATTATTGTTCAAGAATATGTATGAGAACAAGGAGGGAAAGAAAAGAAATAATGTATCAAGTCCTCAACCCTAAGTATTGTAAGTGTACATTTTACTGTGCCCTATGACCCAGGTGTACTTAAAGGGATAGATATCAATTTATATTATATCCCATTTTTACAGAAATCTATTCTGC